ATATTATATTATATTTATTATATTATATTAATTATATTAATTATATTATATTAATTATATTATATTTATTATATTAATTATATTATATTTATTATATATCATATTATATTATACTATATTATATTTATTATATTATTATATTATACCAGAGCCAATGCTAAGTGTGTCCATAGATAATAACCAGTAGTTAAGTATAATGTTGATTTTTAAGTGCTCATGTTAGTCTCTGGTTGAACTTTTATTGACCTATGACACTTAGTGACCTAAAGTCATTAACATGCTTCCCATCCCAGCTCAGCACTGGAAGGGCCCCAAAGAGAAAAAAAAGAAAATTATTTTCTCTTTGGAAACAGTAGAAGACATGCTCACTCACTTACAAACAAAGGCACAATCATTTGTATTTAGAGAAATAAAAACTGGATTTCTCAGGGATCGATTCGTCCAAATCAGAAGGTTCTCTCCCCTCCACGGCCGCTGGCTCTTCACTCGCTAGGCAACTGCCAGCCGCCAGTCACGCAGCAGGTGGGCTCATACGCGCTGGCAGGAGGTTCCGGGAGCCGTGGCCCCGGCGTGACCGAGGCAGGAGGTCTGCGGGGACTGGAGTCGGGGCTCTGCCTGTGGCACTGGCTGGATTCAAGTCCCAGGGTTCGGCAATTCTTGGACACATAAGTCTTGGGCGGACAGCGCTTTGCCACGGAGCTCCCAGGTTGGCAGCCCTGGATGGCACCACCCGTTTGCTGGCTGGCTCCTGATTGGCAAGGCTGAGCCACGCACTGGAGCTCGGCCGAAGAGCCTCCCGATGGGCATGCGGTCCCTTCACGGGGCCTGGCCTTGGTGCAAGTCCTCAGGGCAACCCTGTGGAGGCGGGCACTTTGCACGCCCCCCTTCTCCAAGCACAGCTCCTGCGTGTGGTCGGGCACTTGGCCACAGCGGGCTCCACCGCAGGCTTCCTCCACGTTGCCCAGGAGCCAGGTCCTGCTGTGGCAGGTGCTGGGCAGAAACAGTCCATCGCCAGTGTTCACAGGATCAGAGCCGTGCACGAAGGCAGAGAGGGTCGGGGCGCCGTGGGAGCTCCTGGGCGAGGGGCAGGGGCGCAGGGGCATGGTGCTAAAGCCCTCGATGGAGTCGGCCGTAAGGACCCACCATGCTGGGCCTGAAGGTTAAATTCTTTGCTGGGGAGATATATACTCGGGAAACTGGGCGTTGGCGTCTTCTGGAGACTCCTTTCCACCTCATTGCTTCAGCTACGTGGAAGGACAGCATCTCATTAGCACGTGGTTTGGTTGTGTATGAAGACGGTGTCTTAGTAACAAAGAGGCGAGTCCATTCGTCTTTACAACGGCTTTCATGTCCGCCCAGAGCTGACTCACGGGGCAGGTCGGTCGCCAAGCCGATGTTTCTTTCCTTAGTCACTGGGACTCTCCAGGTTGGCGAGGGGACCGTGAGAAATGCATGTGGAAACAGCCCACTGAACGCTGATTTTCAGCACTGGACTTCTGAGAGGCGCCACCTTGGCAAAGCACGGTAACACCACAGAGGCATTTTCAGCGAGAAATGAATCCAGCCGGGCCGACCCTCACTCCACTCAGGTCCTGCTCCGTCCAGTTGATCCGCCTGAGAGACGGACCTACAGTGAAACTCCCTCCTGCCTTCCACCCGAAACACCGGCCATCGCCCGGTAAACACTTTCCCTTCGCCCAGCCTCCTGTGCCCCTCATCCAACTGAAGGCCAAGTTTTACAGCTGCCTCCGTCTAAAGCTTTTCCTGATCTTCCTGTTGAGAAGTTAAATGGATTTTGACAGGTTCTTTATTATGATGAATTTTACGCCAGAGAGTGCGTTACATCTGTCCCTTCCATCAGTGCCCCTCGAAGGTTGACATTCTGCTCCTTTGACCCACGGTTCAGACTTGCTTGTGTTTGTTTATCCAGCGATTTGTATTTTGACTGCGGGGTGACGGTCACTAGCAGCCTGCACTAGGGAAGCTCCAGCCTCACAGCACAGGACCCGCCAGCAGAGTTTCTATAACAAACTCCACAACCGACTTGGCTCAGCCACGGCAGCGAGTGACACGTAACACTCTGGTCTCCTCCTCTTAGGTCTAAATAAAACCAAGAACATGCAGGACTTTGATGACTCGTACAGAGACTCCTTGATATGTGCTCTGTGGGGATATTACATGTTTCAGAGGCCACATCTAGATATGTTCAGCCTGAGAAGCTGAGTCTAACACCTCTCCTGTGTGATGGAAAATTCCACAGGAACCCCATACAACCCTCACCCTAACCTGACCCTGACTCTAACCCTGACCCTGACCCTAACCCTACCCCTGACTTTAACCCTAACCTTAACCCTGACTCTAACCCTGACCCTGACCCTAACCCCCTACCTAACCCTGACTCTAACCCAGACCCTGACCCTGACCCTGACCCTAACCCTAACCCTGACCCTAACCTAACCCTGACTCTAACCCCGACCCTGACCCTAACCCTAACCCTAACCCTGACCCTGACCCTGACCCAGACCCTGACTCTAACCCTGACCCCAACCCTAACCCTAATCCTAACCCTGACTCTAACCCGGACCCTGACCCTAACCTTGACCCTGACCCTGACTCTAATCCTTACCATGACCCTAACCCTAACCCCAACCCTAACCCTGACTCTAACCCAGACCCTGACCCTAACCTTGACCCTGACCCTGACCCTAACCTTGACCCTGACCCTAATCCTAACCCTTTCCTTGCCTGAGAAGGTGCACATGCCCCGTAGGCCTGTTTCACCCCCAGCTGCCCCTCCTCCGCTCACAGCTCCTCCTCACCTTGTGCCTCAGCTCAGTTACTCACCTGGCACAGTGCCCGTCCTCCAGCCCCCACCTGGACAAAGGTCCCCTCCTCAGGGTCTAATTTCTTTCCTTCGTGGAACTTACCTGAGTGCATCAGTTTATTTCCTCATTGTGCTCTTGCCACACTGCGCTTTGAACAAGGCAGGAGGCTCGTCTCTCTCTCAGGCCGTACCCCCAGCACTGAGCCCAGGGCCTGGCGGGTGGGCGGTAACAGCTCCATAAACGCACTGTTAAAAATTAATGAATAGAAAGTACTAAATAAATATGCATCTAAATTATACTTGAATAAATGAAGAGATACAACTCTGAAACATTGACACACCCAAGATTTCCAAAAACTGGCCAGGGTACAGCACTTAAGGAAAAATAAATTAATAATCTACCCACCTTTCAGCTACCTGGTGAAATAAGAACAAAATTATTAGGAAGCCGCTTATTAGCATAGCGCAAGCTGAGTCGATTATTTTAATAATGTTTGACTGTGCGTGGGCGTGTCCTAAAAAGCTTTTATCATGGAAAAAGCAGCCCTTTTCCCTGTGGGCCCAGAGTCCTGTTGAGAAATCCCCAGTGGCGGGGGCGGGACATCCCTGGGGGCACCACTCACACACTGTCTCCAGGGACAACCGTGGCATTAGCCGCGCAGTGTGCAGGAGTTAATGCATAGCTGCGCCGTGCCAAGTCTCCAAATGTCGCACCCTAATGCCAGGCCTGTCGTTTGTGAACAAGGCCACCCGGTGAGCTCTCTTCTCTTGGGTATGGGGCGTTAGCTGGTACATTCTAGTTAACTGAGTGCTGGATTAATGGGTATTTCGGCAAAGGACTTTGACAGTGAGTAAATACGGATTTGGGCCGGTGCTGGGTTATAGAGGGAGTTACCTGGTCTAAGATCGCGGAATGACGTGGGCTGGGACAACTGGTCGCCTCGCTATTGTTTCCCTGAAATTACTAAAAACTAAGGATTAGCTTTGTAGGCCCACAAATAGTGGTAATTAAGCAGCCTACCTCCTGCCATTCGTGAGAAACGGGTAGAAATGGTCATGCAATTGCTTGTGGCGACTGGATGCTCTGCTAGGAGAAGGTCTCTCCTGGTCCTGAAGGGCTCACAGCTGCAGTGACACCACCTGACCACCAGAGGGTGGAATATCAGCATTTGCTGCGGATTTACCCACAGTTAAATACATTAATTGTATTATAATAAATAAGCAATTAAATATAAGGACTCTGGACTCATACTGCCAGGATTCTAAGCCAAGTTCTACAATCGCAAGCTATGACCTTAAACATTTAAATGTCTGTGCGTTGGCTTCTTAATTTTTAAAATGAAAATGTTAAGGTGATCGGCCTCCTGAGATGGTTTTGCTGGTTAAATGAGAGGTTATATGTAAGATTGCCTGCCACATGTTGAGTAATGAATAAATAACTATAGCAACTATTTCTGATCAGGTTAAGGATCCTCATGCTGACCAAGATGTGGCTTCATCCATTGGGATTGACACAAAGCTATCAGACCAGATAAACAGTGTCTTTTTCTGTTTGAGATGATCTTGCTGGTTGTAAATGTTGCACGTTCCATTCTTGTAAGAGTCGGGGTGTATTTATCATTCCCATTAAAGGTCTAATCAGCCTGCCTCCATCTCTTAAGAGATTGGCAGTTGGTGATTATAAGGCTGAATAGTTTAAATTGCTTTTATATTTGATTACGTGGCTATTCTGGACTTCGAATCAACTTGTTTAGCTGTATGAAGGGGAAAAAATTAAAAATCAGAGTCTCCCTTAAGTAACATAATTCAGCTCAGTTCTCCTACAATTTATGTATTCTATCCCCACCTTCGTTTCATCTCATCAGCCAGACTTACTCCAAATGACCTGAGTTCACTTAAATCCATTACACTTCTCCTACCAAGAAGCTGCTCAGATAGACACAGAGCAGAGCAATGGAGGGACACTAGGCCCAGCGCAAAGGAGCCTGGCTTCTAGCCCTGTGGCTCTGTTAATTCACTGCCTGACTTCGGACTGTCCCTCTGTCCCTCTGGGTGTCTTGAAACATAATGAGTTTAGCTGAGAAGATCACTAAGGTCCTGCCCAGCTGTCCCCGTCTGTGATTCCCCATCAGAACCTTAATATCTTAGAGTTCAGCAGGACATTAAATTGCAGCTGTGAAATCCACCTGCCAAATGAAATCCACATTCTTATTTAAGTCGTCTAATCTTTATAAAGATTGCTTATGAAAGATTTAACAGGACAGACCAAAGACTGCAATCGGCACATTAGTTGCGACCCCTGCTGACAGACGCCCATGACTTTAAATGAACAGTCCTGTCGTATCTGAGAGCAACTCTGGGAATAAATAAAAATACGTCTCTCTGGCCAAGAGCACATGGGTCCATCTCAAAAGAGGGTGTTGAGGGGAATGGCTGACTTCCTGTAGACAGAATGTTTTGTAGAATAAATAAAGTACCATATGGCCCTTCTCAGACGCTGTGATGCGTACAGAAAAAATATTTCAGGATCTGGAATGCTCAGAATTACGACACTCTGACCTTGATAACGACCCTTATGTGGGGCATGGAGATGGTCCTGCCAGCTGTGTCTGCTTCTGGTGATAAACAGATTCTGTTAGAAAATGATGACGTAAGGATTCAGTCACATGTGGTATCATTGGTTCCCTGAAACCACCTCGAAGTAATTTTGCTTCTTGGTTATTTGCAATTCGATTATGTCAGACTTTAATTCAAACAGCTGCAGACGGAAAAAGGAAATTCAGAGGATTGCACAGGGTCTGTGCAGCCCTCGATGATAAGTGATTAGAAAAAAGAATGAACCGTAGGAACTGGGCCCTCTGGGCATCGCAGCCGGAGTCTCACCCCCTTACTCGGGTAGGTCCTGGGTGTGGAAGTGTCATGAATCATCAAGCCCCTCACACCTGCCCCCCGCTCCGTCCAGGGGCACTGCCCGGCTGCCTCCGAGGCGGCTTTTGCTGAAGGTTTTTCCTGTCTTACGTGATCCAGGGTGTGAGTCTGTGTCTGAGCCCTCCCGCTGCTCCCATGGGCCCTGCCGTGTGACCACCCAGCCCTGAGATGGTGCTGGATGATTCCTGATGACGACCAGAGGATGGGTGACACTAACGACAACCAGCCCATCTACATAGAGTTCAGCCAGCCTGAGGAAGGCATGTTGGATGTTCTTGATGTTCAATATCCTGGAGGCCGTCACCCTAGTTTCACTCATTAGGTATCGAGCTGACTTTTGTTGGGTGTTTACTGCACGACAGGTTCCTTAGACTAGAGTCTTCTGTGTCCAGTGAGGATGTGACAGACGTCAACAAACAAGCACAACAGTGCTGCTTAAACAAACATACTTTAAATGTTAGAAACTGTAACTTTTTAAAATAATATATTTAAAATTCTCACTTGAAGACATGCATTTATTAATTTTAGAGAGGAAGGGAGAGGGACAGAGAGAAACATCGACGTGAAACACCGATCGGTTGCCTCCCACGTGGGCCCTGATTGTGAATCAGACCCGCAACCTTTTCGTGTGCGGGACGAAGCTCCAACAGAGTCACCCGGCCAGGGCTGGAGATGCAATTTAAGGAGGTGGCTGCTTCCATTTTGGGGAGTTAGTCAGTTTTCCTGTGTCTCTGCGTGTATACAGGAGGTAAATATGTTATTAAACTTATATTTACTTTTTTCTCCTGTTAACCTGCCTTTTTATTACAGGGATTTCTCAGCCAAGAATCTAGAGGAGTAGAGAGAAAATTATGTTTTCTCTCCCTACACTCAAGAGTGTAGGATAAACTCCTGCCAGAGCTGGGATTCTATTTGGCAAACATTCTAGAGAACAAATTGTGTTGTCAGACAAGTCTTCCTACCATGGAACCTACTCCTTAAACCAAGTATTTTTTTGTTAAACAACAGTACACTTGGAATTATCAACAGGTATCTTTTTTGTAATTAATAGTAAGACCTGTGATCTGACATTGGATTCAATGAGTTTATTTGAAAAGGAAGAAAAAGGCCTGTTGCTCCATTTTTGAGAAGTTGGGGGGGGATGGAATGAAGCAAACTTGGGATTCTGAAACGAACGACGTTACTACTAGGCCTTTTATTTACTCTTCACTCTCGCCAGGTAATAGCTGAGATCGACTTTGCAGAGGGTAAAGTGAGGTTACAGACTAGACGAAGCCTTAATAAGCTGATGGGGAGCAGACGCCAGGCCCTCAGGTTGGTCTGTAACAGGGTGACTGGCAGCTCCTGGAGGCCAAGGAGGTCGGGCGGCAGAATCCGGATCCGTAGCTCAGGGAAGGGAAGCCACAGCCTCCATAGCCCACGGGTCTGAAGCCATGGGACCCACAAGCCACGGAGTAGGAGCTTCGGGACCCACAGCCCAGGGAGTAGGAGCTTCGGGACCCGCAGCCCAGGGAGTAGCAGCTGCTGCTGGACCCAGAGCCCAGAGCCCCAGGACGAGTTGTCCAGCAGGGACTGCAGAGCGTGGGGGTCCTCAGGCCACCGCAGGACGTCTGGCACCTGGGGGGCTCCCAGCAGGTCTCCTGGCAGCGACTGTGTAGAGAGGAGCCCCGCGGGCAGGGGCTGGGGGCGCGGAGCTCAGTGCTGTAGACCAGGTTGCTGGGGTAGGAAGAGCCACAGAAAGAGCCTGAATGGCACAGGGAACCCCCGAGGGAGCCCCCGAGGGAGCAGGAGGGGAGGTTTCCAGGGCAGCAGCCGTGGGACATGTTGAGGGGAGTCGTGAGTTCAGCTGAGGTGCAGAGAGCAGGTGCTCCCAGGTCCCCCCTGCCCCAGCCCTGTTTGCATATATACTCTCCCTGCGCTGGGTGGGGCCCAGGCCCTCCCCATGCTGTGCCTGTCTCGTCATGAGAGTCGCTCATTAACCAAGCTGTAAGTGTACCTAATTATAACCGAACACATTCATGTTCTTCAGGGCTATCTAATTATTTGGTTTACAGACGCCACCCTGCTTCTCTCTCTCTTTTTGAGGGGTGAGGTGTGGTTCACCCTCCGAGAGGCTGGTCACGGTGTGGGTGGCACCCACCCCTCTACCCTGAGCTGGGCTCCGGGATGTTGAGCCTGAGCGTGCAGATTGTTCGCAGCCGTGCACTGCTCACGGTCACCAGAACCTTCCTCCCAAATACATCTACATGTTTTGCTGAGTATTTACTGTGTAAAGAGGAAAATCATGGCATCGTTTAATTCTTGCAACCACCTCATGAGACGGGAATTTTCACCAGTTCAGTAACCCAGGCGTGTCTGCTCCAAGGCCAGCGGGAGCCCGGATGCTACGCTGACAGCTCGAGAGCCTTGTCCTTTCTGCTCCCGGGGTCACACACACAACAAGGACCCAGCATTTCAAGGCGGCAACATTCGCCTGCGACCTGATGGGCCAGCCTGCGTTCTCCTGTCTTTTGTGAAACCCCCAGACGCAGCCACGGAAGGAATGGCTTCTTAATGCCCTTTGTTACGTGGTTTCATTTTCAGTTACCGTGGAGGTGGCTGTTTCACACAGTCCTCTGTGCAGCTTATCCTGAGGCCAGTCCCGTCCCACCCAGCACGGAGCTCCTGGGCTCCCTCTCCACGTGCCCGCCCCACCCAGCACGGAGCGCCTGGGCTCCCTCTCCATGTGAGGCAGACGGTTAGCCCATCACTGGGAATAATTGCTGAAAAGCAATATACCTGGAGCAAGCTGACTACTAATGAAATACATTTGCAAAAACTTGAATTTTAATGGTGCACTAACCTTTGCCAACTCAGCTGGAGTGAGAACAAGACGCCCGAGAGCAATTCGTTTCACCCCCTGCCGAGCGGCTCCTCCGCTCATCCTCCGGGAAGACGAGGCTGCGGGAAACTTACCACCAGGTCCAGGTCCAGTAGTGAGAATCATCCTGTCGCTAGAAAAGGCCCAATTGCACAAAGAAGAGCCCCGGAATTAGAGATGCTGTTCTTCTTTTCTTCGGTTATTATCACATCCAACTTCTGCCCGGAAGCATCTTTGGGAAATTGGGAACCAAGAAGCTATTTACGTAATTTGATCTTTTCTATTTGTTTCAGAGATGATTGTTTTTTTCCTAAGCTCTTAGAGTACTTGCTTATCTGGCACCAATAAAACTGCCCATTGCTTTGCTTACAAAAGTCCAGCAGACGTGTCGCTCACCTCTGCAAACCCCTCTCATACCTCAGAGCCACAACCAAATCCTCACCTGACAGGTATTCGTCTCTCCTGGGCTTTAACTCTTTGCCAGAAGGATCTTAGAGTCTTATAAGCTATTTGGGTGAACACACACAGGCACACACGCACACACATGTGCATACACACATGCATGCACACACAGTGTACACACATGTGCACACACACATGCATACACAGGCACACACAGTGCACGCACATGCGCACACATATACACATGGGTGCACACACGTGCACACAGGTGTGCACACGTACACATGTGCATACACACATCAAGCACACACAAGCACACGCACATGCACAGTGCTCACACACACTCGCTATGACGATGGACAATGTCCCGGAGCCGCGGGGCGCTGTCGTCTGACGCAGACACGGCTGTGGGCCAGGCGGTCCCCCTCCCGCGCCCCGAGGTCCCGACCTCCCCGCCTCCTGCCTGAGCGTCTTCAGCACCCGGGGGCCCAGCCCCGCCCGGCGGAAACGGCCCATCGTCTCCCACCCGCGCGCCAGGCGCACGTCCTCGGCCTGACGTAGGAGCCTGGACCCGGCCCCCGCCGGCGCCTCTACGTCATCTCCGCGCCTCTGACGTCACCTCACCTCTCTGACGCCACCTCACCTCTCTGACGTCGCCTTTATTCCTCTGACGTCACCTCACCTCTCTGACGTCACCTCACGTCTCTGACGTCACCTCACCTCTCTGACGTCACCTCACCCGCAGTTAAACCGTCCCACGCCCTTTGCTCCCGGGCGCCCTTGCTCCGCCCTGGAGGCCCCTCCTCCGGGCCGCGGGCACCTGCCCCTCGCCACNGGAATTATCAACAGGTATCTTTTTTGTAATTAATAGTAAGACCTGTGATCTGACATTGGATTCAATGAGTTTATTTGAAAAGGAAGAAAAAGGCCTGTTGCTCCATTTTTGAGAAGTTGGGGGGGGATGGAATGAAGCAAACTTGGGATTCTGAAACGAACGACGTTACTACTAGGCCTTTTATTTACTCTTCACTCTCGCCAGGTAATAGCTGAGATCGACTTTGCAGAGGGTAAAGTGAGGTTACAGACTAGACGAAGCCTTAATAAGCTGATGGGGAGCAGACGCCAGGCCCTCAGGTTGGTCTGTAACAGGGTGACTGGCAGCTCCTGGAGGCCAAGGAGGTCGGGCGGCAGAATCCGGATCCGTAGCTCAGGGAAGGGAAGCCACAGCCTCCATAGCCCACGGGTCTGAAGCCACGGGACCCACAAGCCACGGAGTAGGAGCTTCGGGACCCACAGCCCAGGGAGTAGGAGCTTCGGGACCCGCAGCCCAGGGAGTAGCAGCTGCTGCTGGACCCAGAGCCCAGAGCCCCAGGACGAGTTGTCCAGCAGGGACTGCAGAGCGTGGGGGTCCTCAGGCCACCGCAGGACGTCTGGCACCTGGGGGGCTCCCAGCAGGTCTCCTGGCAGCGACTGTGTAGAGAGGAGCCCCGCGGGCAGGGGCTGGGGGCGCGGAGCTCAGTGCTGTAGACCAGGTTGCTGGGGTAGGAAGAGCCACAGAAAGAGCCTGAATGGCACAGGGAACCCCCGAGGGAGCCCCCGAGGGAGCAGGAGGGGAGGTTTCCAGGGCAGCAGCCGTGGGACATGTTGAGGGGAGTCGTGAGTTCAGCTGAGGTGCAGAGAGCAGGTGCTCCCAGGTCCCCCCTGCCCCAGCCCTGTTTGCATATATACTCTCCCTGCGCTGGGTGGGGCCCAGGCCCTCCCCATGCTGTGCCTGTCTCGTCATGAGAGTCGCTCATTAACCAAGCTGTAAGTGTACCTAATTATAACCGAACACATTCATGTTCTTCAGGGCTATCTAATTATTTGGTTTACAGACGCCACCCTGCTTCTCTCTCTCTTTTTGAGGGGTGAGGTGTGGTTCACCCTCCGAGAGGCTGGTCACGGTGTGGGTGGCACCCACCCCTCTACCCTGAGCTGGGCTCCGGGATGTTGAGCCTGAGCGTGCAGATTGTTCGCAGCCGTGCACTGCTCACGGTCACCAGAACCTTCCTCCCAAATACATCTACATGTTTTGCTGAGTATTTACTGTGTAAAGAGGAAAATCATGGCATCGTTTAATTCTTGCAACCACCTCATGAGACGGGAATTTTCACCAGTTCAGTAACCCAGGCGTGTCTGCTCCAAGGCCAGCGGGAGCCCGGATGCTACGCTGACAGCTCGAGAGCCTTGTCCTTTCTGCTCCCGGGGTCACACACACAACAAGGACCCAGCATTTCAAGGCGGCAACATTCGCCTGCGACCTGATGGGCCAGCCTGCGTTCTCCTGTCTTTTGTGAAACCCCCAGACGCAGCCACGGAAGGAATGGCTTCTTAATGCCCTTTGTTACGTGGTTTCATTTTCAGTTACCGTGGAGGTGGCTGTTTCACACAGTCCTCTGTGCAGCTTATCCTGAGGCCAGTCCCGTCCCACCCAGCACGGAGCTCCTGGGCTCCCTCTCCACGTGCCCGCCCCACCCAGCACGGAGCGCCTGGGCTCCCTCTCCATGTGAGGCAGACGGTTAGCCCATCACTGGGAATAATTGCTGAAAAGCAATATACCTGGAGCAAGCTGACTACTAATGAAATACATTTGCAAAAACTTGAATTTTAATGGTGCACTAACCTTTGCCAACTCAGCTGGAGTGAGAACAAGACGCCCGAGAGCAATTCGTTTCACCCCCTGCCGAGCGGCTCCTCCGCTCATCCTCCGGGAAGACGAGGCTGCGGGAAACTTACCGCCAGGTCCAGGTCCAGTAGTGAGAATCATCCTGTCGCTAGAAAAGGCCCAATCGCACAAAGAAGAGCCCCGGAATTAGAGATGCTGTTCTTCTTTTCTTCGGTTATTATCACATCCAACTTCTGCCCGGAAGCATCTTTGGGAAATTGGGAACCAAGAAGCTATTTACGTAATTTGATCTTTTCTATTTGTTTCAGAGATGATTGTTTTTTTCCTAAGCTCTTAGAGTACTTGCTTATCTGGCACCAATAAAACTGCCCATTGCTTTGCTTACAAAAGTCCAGCAGACGTGTCGCTCACCTCTGCAAACCCCTCTCATACCTCAGAGCCACAACCAAATCCTCACCTGACAGGTATTCGTCTCTCCTGGGCTTTAACTCTTTGCCAGAAGGATCTTAGAGTCTTATAAGCTATTTGGGTGAACACACACAGGCACACACGCACACACATGTGCATACACACATGCATACACACAANTGCACACACAGTGTACACACATGTGCACACACACATGCATACACAGGCACACACAGTGCACGCACATGCGCACACATATACACATGGGTGCACACACGTGCACACAGGTGTGCACACGTACACATGTGCATACACACATCAAGCACACACAAGCACACGCACATGCACAGTGCTCACACACACTCGCTATGACGATGGACAATGTCCCGGAGCCGCGGGGCGCTGTCGTCTGACGCAGACACGGCTGTGGGCCAGGCGGTCCCCCTCCCGCGCCCCGAGGTCCCGACCTCCCCGCCTCCTGCCTGAGCGTCTTCAGCACCCGGGGGCCCAGCCCCGCCCGGCGGAAACGGCCCATCGTCTCCCACCCGCGCGCCAGGCGCACGTCCTCGGCCTGACGTAGGAGCCTGGACCCGGCCCCCGCCGGCGCCTCTACGTCATCTCCGCGCCTCTGACGTCACCTCACCTCTCTGACGTCACCTCACCTCTCTGACGTCACCTCACCTCTCTGACGTCACCTCACCCGCAGTTAAACCGTCCCACGCCCTTTGCTCCCGGGCGCCCTTGCTCCGCCCTGGAGGCCCCTCCTCCGGGCCGCGGGCACCTGCCCCTCGCCACGCCCGGTGAGCGGGTCGCCCGCGGCGCCCTCCGTCCTGCTCTGGGTCCT